GCAAAAAGAAACTTAGAAATTCCTTGCCCTAGACAGTGAACCATCGAAAGATCTGGAATAAGCAACGATCACTTTCACAGGCAGACTGTCAATGCAGCATATGCTAATCCTGGATCTATGTTTTACAGACACAAAAGAAAGAATAAAGGGGTCTCTTTCATATATGTGTTTTTCCCTTTAAAATAATTCCTTTGAGAAGTAGGCCTCTCAGCAGGAAGATTAGAAAAAACAAAAAACAAAACAAAACGCAAAAAAAAAAAAAACCAAAAAAAAAACAAGACCCTTTAAAATTTAACTGTTATCAAACTCAGAAACAAAAGAAAAGAGATGTGCGTATTTGTTACTTCTAATATCTTACCATATTCCAAAAATCAAGACCCTTTTAACTGTTATCAAACTCAGAAACAAAAGAAAAGAGATGTGCGTATTTGTTATTTCTAATATCTTACCACATTCCTGACATTTATGACTCTTAAAATTCACTTTCTCATAATATCATCATGCCTCTCAAGCTATCCGGTAAGCTTCACTTGTTTATATTCCCTGTATAGTTGTCTGGCCTCTCTCTCTGCAGGTCAGCCCACTCTTTAGGCCCCCTTCAGGTCTGCAAAGTGCCCCTGTTACTCAGCTCTGCTCTGACATGTTACACTTTTCACAGCTTATAGTCCACAGAGCTCAAATGTTTTGTGTTTGTTTGTTTGCTTTTGTTTTTGTTTTTAAATAAACTGCCTTAAATGGTTGCCTTATATCATACGTATGATGGTTCTCTTTTTCCTATGAGACTAAATTCCCTGAGTGCAGAAAGTATCTTCCAATGTATTTCTGTTATGTCTCCCACCCTGCTGACACCTGGGGTCTCGATCAACAGTGGTACAACATGCACTTTATAAAACTGAGTTGAAGATTTCAGTGCTACCTAGCAATTGCTAAGGCAAGATGTGGCTGCCTTTCAGAAATGCCTTCCTCAAGACAGTGGGGTCCAGAAGCAGTGTGCTTGTGGCTTACACAGACTTTTTTCTAGTGGGAAATACGGGATGCTGATTATGATCACAATAGTTAACATTTACTGAGTTCTCTACTAAACACTGGCATCTCAGCCCTGTACTAAGTGGTTTCCATGGTGTAGACATGACTAAAATAAACCTTCCAAAGCCCTAGAAGAAATTTCCACTCCTGTTCCCCAATTCAGCCTGGATGACCAATGAGGGCCAGCCTGGACTCCCTCAAAAGAACTGGAAGGAAGCAACATTCCTGCTCACCCAAAAAGGCAAATGAACACCAGCCTGCTGGTATCTCCACCTCAGACACAGGGGTAGGCTGCATTTGATTGAATTTAACTGCTTGACCTGGAATTAAGCAAGAGTTCTCTCTACCGGCCAGAAAAAACCACACAGCATTACAGCTTTTGTTTTCCTTAAGCCACAGGAATTACTAAAGAAAGTCCACAAACTACTGATTCTATGTGATTCTAGATGTGGTAGAAAAAAACCCAGTTATTTGTGTAGAGAACAGATGTTCAATAAGGAAATCTCTCTCCATTTGGGGGTTGGGAATATCTGTTACCTGCTACAAGCTGTAGATCATAAGTATTGGCATTATTTGCATTAGTCTTAATCATTTTAATCTTTATTATGTAGCACATTGCCAAAACAAAACCAAATTCTAAAAATTCCAACTCTTCGGCAGAAGAGGAAATGAAAGCTTAGTTTACTAGAGTCAACATCCATTTGAGAAAAAATCTAAATCATAAACCTTTCCTAAATATACTGGTTAGTATGCCTGTATGTATGTATGTATGTATGTATGTATGTATGTATCTATCTATCTATCTATCTATCTATCTGTCTGTCTGTCTGTCTGTCTATCTATCTAATCTATCTATCTACACACTGGTTAGCTACATGTCCAACTTCATTACTGAAAAATGTTATATTGATGTAACTATTTCAGACAAATGACTCTAGACAGTCAGGAAGAAATGCCAAAAATTAAGGCTTCTATTAGAGAGTTCCTTGAGCTGTCTGAAGGCTGCCACCCAGGCAGCATGATACTTAGAGCAACACCGTTAACAAGAATTTCACCAGGCCTGAAGTTCTGTGAATCTCATTAGAAATAGGCATAACATGACTCTTACAGAGCTTTGTAGTTTACCAACAGCCTTCAGACACATCATGATGACATTCAGACTTCATGAGCAACCCTTGCAGAGTAAGCAAGGTCATTCTCATTTTCCAGATAAGCAAGTGAGGTCCAAACAGATTAAATGACTGTAACTACAGTAAAGTAGTTAGAATGGGGTATCAGCTTTTATTGTGGGATACCAGGCACTGTGCAAAGGATTTCAGGTGAGGAATCCTATATTCCTTGCAACTATTTTTACTCACTAAAAACTACATTTAAGCGAGGTTCAATAATTTGCTCAAAGGTCATGAAGCTGGTAAGTTCATGAAGCTGGTAAAAACTGTCCAATACAGTCTGTTTCCCCACCCGCTGTGTTCTATGGTGTTTCCTAGTTAGAAAGCATAGAGCAAGCATTTGAAACTCAAGACTTCTAACCCCAAATGTGACTTCCTTCATGAAGCCTTCCCTGACCATCACTCCCACCAACCCTATATTTAGTGAAGCTCCCCTACTGGAATCGTTTATTGCACTCTTTCGCTATATCGTAAGTATTTGTTAAGTTCATATAAGTTTGGGTCCCTAAAGTCTCGGACTGTATCTTAAGTTTATAACCCTCTTTATTAGATCTTACTTGAAAAGTAATAGGTACAATAAATGGTTAGCGATTGAATAAATGGATAAAAAGAGCAGTATTTTCTTATCACATGTCTGGAAACTACAACGTATGCTATATATTTCTTTAGACAATTAGATAAGTTAGACAAAAATGTCATTCCTGGCAAAAACGATTTTTAAAAATCTATGGCAAGAAGAGAGAAATTATGAACATGCTTAAGGATCTTATTAGCAATGTAGGCTGAACAGTGATAAAATAGGGCTTTCTGAAAAATTATGTTCAAACTTTTAAAGCTATATAAAAGAAAACTTTAGTTACATGAATGCACGTGTTCTTCTCTGAACTTCACATCCAACCCAAATTCTTCCCTCTTCCCTGTGACAGTTATTTTTTCTTCTTTTCTTTTTTCTTTTTCTTTTTTTTTTTTTTTTTGAGTCTTGCTCTGTCGCCCAGGCTGGAGTGCAGTGGTGCGATCTCGGCTCACTGCAAACTCCGCCTCTTGGGTTCATGCCGTTCTCCTGCCTCAGCCTCCAGAGTAGCTGGGACTACAGGCGCCCACCACCACGCCTGGCTAATTTTTTGCATTTTTAGTAGAGACGGGGTTTCACCGTGTTAGCCAGGATGGTCTCTATCTCCTGACCTTGTGATCCGCCCGCCTCGGCCTCCCAAAGTGCTGGGATTACAGGCGTGAGCCACAGTTATTTTTTCTATTCAGTCCTACGTAAAGGAAGAGAACAGTGAAAACTTCCCTTTTGCAGTTTCTTTTTACAAAAAAGGGTGCTGGGCCCACCATTAATCTGACTAGGGTGTTTCAGACTCCACTGAGTTGTGAAATGTGAAGATATCTGTGGCCTCAACTTCTTTACTGTGACATTGTTTTTGTTTTTGTTCTCTCTCTCCCTCCACGCCAACCCTCACTCTTAAATTTGCAAAGTGATTGAATTCATTTCTCTGTTCGAAGAAGCTCTTTGCCATACCAAAAAGTAAATCAGGAGGGCTTCCAGGGAAAGTTGGAGGCCTGTTCCCCAGATGCATGGAGAATTTTATCCACTTAATGGGGCTCTGAAAGGTTGGGCCAAGGCTCCAAATCTGAGTACTCTCCTGCAGGTACAAGCAGGCCTCAACACATACTGATAGTTAGTACTCTCTTTGTCTTAAAATACAAGTCAAATCCCGATTCAACACTGTTAGAATGCAAAAGTCTGCTTAACGAAATGATTGATCCACTCATAATTAGAGAAAAATCAATAATTTTCTTCTTAAACCCTGACATTCTCTTTCATTATCTTAATGGGAATCTGACATTTATAAAATACTTGAGGTCAGCTACATGTTTCTGTTTAACAAACATAGGCAGGAGAAACAACCATCAACTAGATTAGTAGTTCATTAGGAGAGCTGAGTTTGTCCACACCAACAAATCTCAACTGAGCCTAACTTTTTGACCAGTATCAACTCACTTGCCCAGGGTGAAATTAATTTAAATTATTCTAAATTTCAATGAATTAAAACCCCATCCATCACAACTCTATTTTACTCCTTTGTTCAGACCTAAAGGAGGCAAATCACAAGAAAGCAATGAACCTCTCAGATCTGCAAAGAACTTTTCCAATGTGCATACCTATCTCAGAATGCATTCAGCCAAATGCATACCTGCTACTGATCCTTAGGCCTTTCTTATCCTTACTCAACCAATTAAGTTTTCATTACAATCTCTAAAAACGTTTTGAGCAAAAGACCAGAAAATTGAAGTTATACATATTTTATGTAAAAATTGAGACACTGGAAGTTCTTTTAAACATGGATGCTTCCTTGATGGGTAGTACAGGAATTGCAAAAACATCTGGAATTTAAGGTGAAGGCTTTAAGGAGATCAGCAAGGGAGAAGTTTCTAGAGGTAGGGGCATCACAAAGCCAGCTCGCCCATAGAATCCAGCAGAGGCCAGGTTACTCTTTTTCAAGAAAGAGAAGGAAGCAGCTGGCTTTCTGAGTGGACTGGGAACCACATTTTATTATTATGAGTAAAGCAAATCTAAGGCCTTCTGTGAAAATCTGATTTTGATTAGCTAACTCCCACTCAATGTCAAGTGAAATTAAAACATACCAAAGAGACAGAAGTGGCACTCACCTTTTCAGAAACTATTCTCAGAAAGGAAGAGGTTATTCTTTAGTAAATAAAGTAAATGAGCACAGCAAGGGTCAGGCTGATGAATTTAAAAGCTGGACTACAAACTAAAAAGAAGTCATATAAACATTCCCTTACCTGTTTTGATATTGATGGCAAAAAAATTCTGAGGATTTCCACTTGTAATCCTGTATGTCAGTTTTTCATTGGAACTAGAGTCAGGATCTTCAGCCTGGATCTGAATGACAGATATGTCTTTTGGAGAGTTTTCCATGACAACAGGATAATATATAGGTTCAGAGGTCAGCGGGGCATTGTCATTCACATCTTCAACTTCAATGTAGACCTCAATGGTGGAGTAGAGTGGAACAACACCTCTGTCTGTGGCATACACTGTTAGCCAGTATGAACCCGTTGTCTCCCGATCAAGAATGTCTGCGGCAGTGATGACCCCTAAGAGAAAAAAGAAAAAGTGTGACTGTCACAGCAAAAGGTAAGACATTAAATAAATAATCTCAAATTCCAAAGGACTGCACTAAATAATCTTGGTATATGAAAAACACCCAAATCCATAACATAAGGTTAAATTAAGATATTCTTTACATAAGAAAATGATTTTCAGCAGGACCATATTGAATAGTTTATAGAGTATTAATTACATTCACAAATACTTTATTTGAATTTTGGAGATAGATATCTCTCAAACAAACATGCGCACAGATCTACACATACAGAAGAGATGATATAGGGGAATGAGAAGAGGTTGGGCCAGGGGTCAAAGCACTTCCCATGTTTCATGGGAAATCAGTGTAGTATCAGGTCAATATCTCCATTTGACCTGATATTGAATTGACTTCTTATGCAATAAAAAGCTCTCCTAGGGTAAATTATTTTATCTATTCATTTACAGAAAGAAGAAAAACCTTTCAAATATTCTTTTTTTGCCTGTTAGAGTAGAAAATATTTTGCCTGCAAAGATATAACCCTCCTTCATACACTTTCCCTGAAAATCAAATGTCACAGCCATTCCAACATAATCAGAGAAGTCATATCAACACATGTTCCAAACGAGTTCCATCCCCCTTAAGAACTCTACAGAGGGCCCTAATAAACTCTGAGCCACTCTGAGAGATGCTCATGGACAATCATTTTAAATTAGGAGTACAAAATGCCCAATCTTTCCCATTTCATGGTTGAAACAAGTGCCAACCAGGAAATCAGATGTCTGCCTAAAAAGCCAGAGAAAACACAGTGCTCTTGTCTATCTTTACAACACTCACCCAATCACCAGGCTACAGAAACTTACCACAGGGACAGGATCATGAGCCCATTATGATGGGAAAACTCTGGGCTCACTGTATAAAAACTGTAAAAGTAGTCAGGAGGCTCATAGAAAGCGTGAAATTCATGTAAATCCTTATACTATAAAAGACATTGTGAAAGGAGTCAAGAAACAGTTCTCCAGCTCTGCCCTGAATTCTCTATCCTCTGTATTCCTGTTAAACTTTTGTCTAAATAAGGCATATAACTTAGCCTATGGACCCTGCATAAGCAAACTGCCAAGTACAGCAACCGGGAGGGAGGAGGGCATCTGTCCAGAAACAGTTATGCTGGAATACTGAAAGTTTCCTCAAACTCAAGACAGATAAAATATTTAAAGGGTGATAACCTGATTGATGTCGAAATTTCAGCTGCAACGTTAATTCACCAAAGAACTCTGCATAGTGGTAGGCCATGGGACAAAAGTTAATCTTAAATATTCCTAATGGAAATATGTAAAACAATTGGGTCCTGTAGAATACGGCTGATATCTGGTAGTTAGAAGAGAAATGCCAATCTGTCATTAGAGGAATAGGTACTAGATAACAGAATAGGAAGAAAATGAGGAGAAGTAAAAGCAACCACAACAACAACAACAACAAACTATTATAAACACAGTGATGTGTGCTCATTGATTGAATGAATAAAGATAGCATTATAAACTGGGTTGACACTGCCATCTATAAGACCACCAGGATGACTAAACAGTGGAAAGGAGAACTTTATTGGCAGCCAATATCAGTTTGCAAACTGGGAAGAGATACTGTCCGGTGTGTGCTGAAGGTGCTCTCTTTTCCAAGAGGGGAAGGCCAGGTTGGTTTTATTCCTCGCAGGGCCCATAGTACACAATGCAGTCATACATATTCAGCAGATTTGGGAGAAACATCATACATATTTATGAGAAGAGCTGAGCATATTCGCAGTGGGCAAACATACTTGCAATATACATTCTATGTTCACTTTGGCGCAGGATTTTAGCATTAAAATGAGGTGGAATTTGGCTCTTTACATCAAAAGATGAACGACAGGACACAAAGACAGTTTGTGTGCAGACTTCATAAGCCAGCTGATACTGGCTGAAGTCTGCAGTAGCTTATCAGAAAGCAATGTTTGTGAGACAAATCCTCTGTCTAACCAGAGTTTTAGTGGTCTGGGTTGTAAATCAAAGTTAGGACAATTTGCCTGGTAGCTCTTATTGTTAGAGAGTCTAGTAGGAGTGTGGTTTTTCCTGTAGGAATTTAGAAATCTGTCATGCCAGCTGGGCCCTGAACTGTCAACCCAGATGTTACTGTTTTCCAACCTTAGGGTTCATCTTAGCTGATAAAGGACCATCTATTTTGGTCTCTCAGACAGAGTCAATTGTCAACATGACTTTAAGGAACAGACAAGGAGGGCTCTGAGGGTTGGATACCTGGCCAGGTGTGAGCACATCTGTCAGTGCAGGACACCAGCACATTATAGACACCATGGACAGTTTTGTGGAACTCTCATAGCAGACAGTGCCATGAGCTGCCACTCAGGTAAACTGGAGCTCTGCAAGTCAGAGAAAAGATATGTGACAGGGAACTAAGTGGTCTCTGGGATGGAAACTAAGAGTAGAAAGGTGTGAGCTGCGGTAAGGGATACAGGTCACACACACAAAAAAGATGTTCTGCAGGCTCCGTGAGGCACCTCTTCACTGCCATGAGACCTGTCCATTCAATTTACAGGCATCCACTGGACCCTGTGCTGCCATTGGAGGAACGGAGATAATGAAAGGGTCTCTGTCCTCAAAAGACTCCCAGTCCTTTGGAGAATGCAGATCTTTATTAAGCAGATCTGTACTGAGGGGATAAACGCATAGCCAACAGCCAGAAGGGATCATCTGGTTTAGACCAATATACTAGGAAGAGCAAAGACTCTAGAATCAGAAGGGGATGGGAAGCAGGGGAAACAGCATTTACTGAGGATCCATAATGTGTTGTGAGACCTGTAATTCAATTTCCCTAAAATATAAACTTTATAGTGATCTCTTAAAGATAAGGACACCATGTTGGTAACTTGCCCAAGGCTCCACAGCTAAATGTAGAAGAACCCTAGACTGTCTGCCTTGAATATCTGGAATCCTTTACTTTCTACCCAATTGACCATAGAGAAGATGTTCAACCCAAGCAAATCTAGTTTTCATACCCATCTCTCAGTGTTGTGGTAATCATTAAATGTACACCAACAGTTTGGCAAAATGCATGTGGCATAGTAGATGCTCAGTACGTGTTAAATCTATGTGAACCAAAAGCAATTCTATAGGTGTTCTTAATGGTAATCAAACCCTAAAGCAGGGGATGATCTTGAAAGGTAAGAAGTTGGGGATGGATTGTCATGCAAGATGTTTCTTCTTCTCTGGTCATGTGCCATTCTCGCAGTCTTTGTGATTTGCCCATTACATAATTTTTTTGGGGAAAGTATCTGGCCTTTTTGGGGAACATCAAAGTAAGGTCACTAAAGAGAGAACATAATTCAATAAGCAATAAAATCAAGGAAGTTTTTCAGTTTTATTTTTCCCCTTGCCTGACTAACTGCCATGCTTACATTTCCACATGTGTGTGTGTGCACGCGCACACACACACTCCAAAGCATATACATATAGAGATTTGCAGTCACAAAATTGGTTTGCTATTCCTGGAAGTCACTAAATTATTTATTTTCTTCCACTGTTAAAAAAGGAAGATGGTATATCACAGCCTTTGGACATAAAAGGATTTTGAGAAGTCCTTAGATGAAATGCATTCACTAATACAAATTAAAATACAAGGGTGGGATTTCACCTTATTTTACTCTTAATGAAGGATCAGACATTTTCCTTAAAAATTAGATTTCTCTCTTGTTAAAATAAAAGATGTCTATGGCTATATTTACCAAGTAACTAGAAGTGTGAATGAGTATCTTGGAACACAATGTTCAGATGTCAGTTTTATGATCCAAAAATTTGAGGACAAATTGTAAAAGGACTGAGTCTGAAATGTGTTAATTACTGAGTTTCATCCAAGGCTCAGTATTAATCATATTAACACCACTGATGTCCAGTGATAGCATTTCTTCACACCTATCCTCTTATAGCTAATGATGGTCAACATAGTCACAACTAAGAATGTAAATCTACATTACCTCTTTTATCAATCAAAAACTCACTTTTAAGATTGACGAAGGAATGCCAAAATCATGTCTTGAGGGGCATTAACATTATGACAACTGCAATGCATTCTTTATTGCTTTTTTTTTTTTAAATTGAGGTATTTGGAATACAATAACCTGTCCATGTCTAAAGCAAACAACTGGTAAATTTTGATTTTCATGAAACCGTCACCACAATCAAAACAACAAACATATCCATGGTCCTCCAAAGTAGCCTCTTTCTCATTTTCAATCCCTTGGTCCCAACTCTTTCTACCCCCAGGTAACCACAGATTGCCTTTCTGTCATTATAAGTAACTTTGCATTTTCTAGAATTTTATATAACTTAAATAATATAGTATGTACTGTTTTTCTGTTTTCTTTCACTCACAATAATTATTTTGAGATTGATCCATGTTATTTTGTGTATAACAGTAGTTAATTCCTTTTCATTTCTTAGTAATATTCCATTGTGTGGGTATACCACTATTTTTTTAACCATTGACCTATTGGTGAATATTTGAGTGGCTTTCAGTTTTTAGCCATTACAAATAAAGCTGCTAAGAACATGCATCTCAAAGTTTTATATAGAAGAATACTTCCATTACTCTTGAGTAATAACTCAGGGATAGAATGACTATATCACAGGATAGGTATATATTTGCACCATTTCACATTCCCACTGGCAGTGAATGTGGAGGGTTCCAGTTGCTCCACATCCCCACCTGTGGCTGACTTGGCATGGTCAGTGTCTCAAATGTAGATATTCTAATGGGCATATAATGGTAACTCATTGAAGTTTTCATTTGCATCCTCCTTATGATGTTAAGCATCTTCACCTGAATATCTTCTCTAAGATAAAGAAGTTATCATAGGTTAAGTGTTCAAACGTTTTGCCTATTTTTAAATTTGGGTTGTTTGTTTTCTTGAGTTTCAAGAGTTCTCTACATATTCTGGATGAGTCTTTATCAGATAAGTGATTT